ATGGCATTGGTCGGGGAGTCACACATGCAAATGCAACCGTGTTTGCGAAGCCATAGCATCATGACTGTGCCTGGAACACACATGCGAGGCGGGAGCAGTAGAGAGCGGGGCCAGAAAGTCATGCAGAGCCCAATTATGAAGGAAGAACCTGCCGAGACAAAACCAGTGGCTGGGGCTTCATCTCATGGATCAGGAGGCGCAGTCATTGAAAAGTTTTAACCTGGGAAGGGGCATGGTTGATTGAGATTTTAGATACTGGCAGAGTAGGGAGGATGGGCTTGAGGGCTAACCCTAGTTGCTGACACTTCATTGGGGTTGAACTAGCCACTGCCCAGGTGTCCATAAGGCATGGAAGTTAAGGCCCTGACTTGTAAGCCTGAGATAACTTGGGGGTGGAGGAGTGTGGCCCATCAGAGTCACCCCTCTGCCCTGGGCTATCCACATCTCCACTGGCCATGCCAGACAGAAGCACGGGGTCCCCGCCTGGCTAACTCAGCCACCTCATCACCCCTGCTGCTCTTCACCTGGCTCCTGTATCTCCCTTCTCACCTGGCTCTGGGCACAAAAGCCCCCACGTGTCCCAGCCCACGGCAAGGTATCCAGAGATAAGACAGGGAAGCTGTGGACAGGAATGACTCGTGCTGCCCCAGCCTCCTTTGCCTGGGCTCTCCTGTGGCTGTTTGGATTCCAAGAGAGGGCAAGCTCCTCTCTAAATGCTGGGGGCTGATGAAGGCTGCAGAGAAACTCCCTGGCCAGGAAGCCCCAAGGCACTTTCTGTTGTCCTGCCCTTCCCCTTTCAGGACAGTAGGGGGCAGCACCAACACGATTTTAAAAAATAAAACCAAAACGTCACTGGAGCACCCCAACCTTGTTCGCCCAGCTACGATTGGAAAGACCCATGCGTGGCCTAAGTTTATATCCACGGACAAAAACTTCTTCATTAATCATGTGGATCAGAGATGTCGATTAAAGAATCCATCCCGTCATTCTCTAGTCCTGTCTGGCTCAGAAAGGACCATCTGGTCACAATTATAATTTCAGATACATTTATTTTGTAACTATTAAAGTTATTAAATAATATTACAGAAGTTTTACTAAACAGAGTAACATGGTTTAAATCATCCGCAACCCCATACTCTAATAGCACTTATTTTAGATTTTTCTCACAGGTGCTTTCTGCATTTGTAAACATGGTATCCTTACAATTTGGTAGCTACCTTTACTTATCATGCCAGGAATCCCAGCTCCCTTACCTACATCTGGGGGCCTTAACATAGAGCAGAAGCAGCCTGTGTTCTTTAGGGACTCACACTTGGTTAAGGAAAAGGGAACCGAAGTAAATGATTGAAGTGTTAGAAAAAAGCTGACTGACTGTCCTGGTGTGTGCCAGGGAACTTAACTGGTTTTAGTGTTGAAAACCTCATGTCCTAGGAAACCCTCAGTCCTAGACAGACCAGGATGATTTCTAATAAGTTACCCTATTAGAAACAAGTCCCCCCAAATTCAGACATCCATTTTCATTTCTACATCGGCCTTTTAGCTATACTTCTTTGCCTTTTTTCTACTAGTGGTCCCCCTAGGGCAGCTGTTCCCAAACTTTATACCCTTAAAAAATTATTGAGAACCCCAGAGAGCTTTGGCTTATGTAGGGTTTATCTATTCACAGTCACTGTACTAGAAATAAAAATTGAGAAAATTTTAAAACACAAAGATATACAAGCATGCATCCCACTCGTTACCACGGATTGCACATCATGTGGCCTCTGTAAATCCACCGTATACCATGACAGAATGAGGGAAAAAAGCAAATAACATCTGAGTATTTTTATGAAAGTCATTTTGTTACCTCACAGACCCCGTGAAAGGATCTTAGGAACTGTGTGTCTTCCCAGACCACAGGTGGAGACCCGCTGCTCTGGGAAGTAGTCTGCATCCTGAACTCTTCAGTTTTCTCAGTTCCTATTGTATCACTTCGTGTGAAATGAAGGAAACTTGCAACCATGAGTCCACCCCCTTGTCCTCTATACCAGCAGTCCCCACCCTTTTCAGCACAAGGGACTGGTTTTATGGAAGACAATTTTTCCACAAACCAGGGATGGGGGCCAGAGGGAGATGGTTTCAGGATGATTCAAGCACATTACATTTATCACATGTTTTCTTGCTATTATTATTGTTATTGTAATATATAATGAAATATTAATAATTATACAACTCATCGTAATGTGGAATCATTGGGAGCCCTGAGCTTGCTTTCTTGCAGCTAGACAGTCCCATCTAGGGGTGATGGGAGACAGTGACAGGTCATTAAGCATTAGATTCTCATAAGGAGCACGCAACCTAGATCCCTCACATGCATAGTTCACAATAGGGTTCATGCTTCTATGAGAATCTAACGCCGCCAATGCTCTGACAGAAGATGGAGCTCAGGTGGTAATGGGAGTGATGGGAAGCAGCTGTAATACAAATGAAGCTTCCTTGCTCACCGGCCACTCACCTCCAATACTGGTCCGTGGCCCAGAGGTTGGGGACTCCTTTATACTATAGCCTTCATATATGTTACAGCTACATATGTTATAAACCTCACAATACAATGTTATCATTTTTGCCTGGAACAGTTTTACGTATTTTAAAGACATTAAAAAGAAAATTGTATTTTGTATTTACCTTCAAATTTACCATTCTTTTTATTCCAGCATGCAGCTCTGCTCTTCCATCTGGTTTCATTTTCCTTCCCTCTAAAGAACTCTTTTCTTGAGACAGGGTCTCATTCTGTCACCCAAGCTGGAGTGCAGTGGCACCATCATGGCTCACTGCAGCCTCCATTTTCCAAGCTTAAGCAATCCTCCCAGCTTGGCCTCCCAGAATGCTGGGATTATAGGCATGAGCTATCGTGCCCGTCCTAAAGAACTTTCTTTAGCGCTTCTCATAGTGGAGGTCTGCTGGTGACAAGAATCTCTGTTTTCTTTTATCTGAAAATAGCTGTATTTCATCTTCATTCTGGAAGAATATTTCCACTAGAAAAACATTTCTAAGTTGACATTTTTTTTTCTTCAACATTTTAGAGCTATTCCACTGTCTTCTGGTCTATATTGCTTTTGATGAGAAAACAGTGACATTGAAAATATTGTTGTGTATAGTCTTTAGGATGAGATTGAAAAAAAAGAAAAGATTTTCTCTTTGGCTTTGGCTTTTAGCAGTTTGACCATGATGTGTCAAGGCATGCCCTTTTTTTTATTGACTACTCTGCCAGTTAGAGACGAGGTCCCGTGTAGGGGAGGTGGTGCTGAAAACCCAGCAGGGCACAGCTCAACCCTAGCCCACAGCGGCCTGCAGTGACCAGCTATGCACATAGCCATCAGCTCCTTCTCCAGTCCCACATCACCGGCCATTCGTCCCCTTGTCCTTGACCCTAACTCACACTGCAGCCACACATACCACCTAGGTGAGACCAAGGTGGGCCCTCATATTCAGAGTGCTGGATTACCCCAAACAGGGACCACATCCAGGCCCTGGACTGCCCAGTCACCTGGGGCTGCCGGTACATCACTGCCTCTCCACCCTCTTGGCTCCCTGTCCTCTTTCCCACCCAGCCTCACTCCAGCACTTTAACCCCTATCCATTTAGGGTGACCACCAGTCCTGGGTGGCCCAGAACTTCTCTCAGTTTAAAACTGAAAGCCTCATGTCCTGGGAAACCCATCAGTCCCATGCAAATCATAACAGTCGGTCACCCTACCTGTCCTGGAGTTTCCTTCCAAGGCCTTACTCCTCCCTCCTCCAGCTCATCTCCAAGAAAGTCTTCTCAGATGGGCTAGCTGGGTTTTCTAGCTCCTGCCCCTCTTAGCAAACAAGCAAATAATGCTCTGAAGGGAGACAAGAGGTAGACTCCCCAGTCCTGATCTGAGTCTTGGCTGGTTTCTTCCTAACACATGGGTCTTGGGATTGGTACCATTGTTCACTCTTTGGCTGCATCTCTGGCTCCCGAGGTGCTCCGGGTGACCCTAAGAGTTCTATGAGAGAGCGGGTTTCAGTGATCTCACGGGAGGAAAGAAGTCCTAGTCAGAGGGGCCCACTCCTCAAAAGACAGGCATGGGAGATCATCCCCAGGTGTGTTTGGGGTTGGGATGTGGCAGACAGGCAGGCTTGAGCTCAAGGCTGTACCTGAGAAATTGTATCTGTCCTGGCCATCACTCTCTTATCATCTCCTTGTAGCCACGGACTGTGGCTCTCCTAAATCTCTCTAGCCTAGAAAAACCAAAGATGCAGAGCATATCCTGTTTAGGTCTGTAACTTGCTGCCATATTACTATATGCAAAATGGAGGAAGCAATAGATTCTTCTCTGAGAGGGGTGTGTGTGTGTGCACGTGCATGTGTGTGTGTACAACGTAAGGTCTTCCACACACCTGCCTTCTCTGAGGACAGGACCAGCCACCTCCACAAGGGCCTTCTGGCCTCCTACCAAGTTGTGGGTGAGTGTCCTTCCTCAGGGAGCGGCGAGAGCAGCCACAGGCTCTAGTGTCTGCCTAAAGAAGCTTGAGTGACGGCTTGAGTGATGACTGGGACTAGGGACCGAGGGACACCTGGGCTCAACCCCAGCCGTGACCATGCTGGACGAGCAGCCTCCAGAGGTTGTGGGTAGGATTCAAAAGGCCACCTAAGCGCATGTCCCCCACCCCTGCTTGGTGAGGAGGGAAAGGAAGAGAAAGCTCAAGTTCAAGGATCACAAACTTCAATTCCACAAGAGGGAGGCTCCCCAGGTATGTCAGTGAAGGGAAAGGTCGGGGAGGAAGAGACATGACTGAGTGAAGGCGGCAGCCATAACTCACAAGGAGTCATCCTACACACGTGGCAAAAATCAATGTTAAATAGTACAAAAGGGTCGAGTCAGTGTCCTGTCACCCTGACCTCTGAGGGCCAGCGAGGTTTTTGGACTTTTCCCCTAAGCTGCGGCCGGCCCGCTGTTCCTGAGTCCGACGGCAGGTGGCGCTCCGCCCGGAGAATTGGAGACGGGGAACTGAGGAGTTGCTCAACACTTCCAGGAACTTCCTCCTCCCCCACCGGCCTTCACCTTTTGTTCCCTAACCTGGGCCAGTTCTCTCGCAGGTCCCAGATGTCCAGTTCCAGATGCCTGGACCCAGAGTGTGGGGGAAATTTCTCTGGAGAAGCCCTCACTCCACAGGCTGTCCAGGCGCAATGTGAGTGTGGCCCCGGCAGAGGAGGAGGGAAGAGGACGGGAGGGAAAGGGAAGGGCGGGTGTGTGGCCGCAAACCCTCCCCCCCCCCCCCCCCCCCCCCCCCCCCCCCCCCCCCCCCCCTGAGTGAAGGCGGCAGCCATAACTCAAGGCGAAGTCGTCCTACACACGTGGCAAAATCATGTTAAATAGTACAAAGTGGTCGAGTCAGTCCTGTCACCCTGACCTCTGAGGGCCAGCGAGGTTTTTGGACTTTTCCCTGCTGTGGCCGTGGCCTGCTGTTCTTTTTGAGTCTGACGGCAGGTGGCGCCCGCCCGTGAGAATTGGTAAGGGGAACTGAGGAGTTGCTCAACACTTCCAGGAACCCTCCTCCCCACCGGCCTTCACCTTTTTGTCTCCCTAACTCTGGGCCAGTTCTCTGGGTGTCCCAGATGTCCAGTCTGGGCATGCCTACCCAGAGTGTGGGGGAAATTTCTTCTGGAGAGCTCCTCACCCACAGGCTGTCCAGTGGCCGAGTGTGGCTCCCGGCAGAGGAGGGGAGGGGAAGAGGACGGGAGGGAAAGGGGAAGGGCGGGTGTGTGGCCGCAAACTCCTCCCCCTCACACCCTACTCCCCCCCCCCCCCCCCACACACACACACACACACACACCCCACATACACACACACCAGCAGCAGCAGCAGCACAGCAGATATTCCACACACACACACACACACACACACACACACCACATACACCAGCAGCAGCAGCAGCACAGCAGATATTCCACACATACACACACACACACACACACACACACACCACATACACACACACCAGCAGCAGCAGCAGCACAGCAGATATTCCATGGGGAAACTGAAATTTGCCTGTGGCCTGTAGCACCTTCCCTGGGGGTGGTCGGTGGGTGTTTGCGGCAGACCCTCACTCGCCCCACCGTTGCCCCCTCGGATCCCAGGGTGGGGTGGGATCTGCTGAAGCAGAAAGCACCCGCCTCCTTTTGATGAGACTCTCCTGGGAGATGAGCAAAGGTGATATCTTCGGAGGAGGGAAAACCGACAATCCTAGAGCTCAGGCTGCACGGGAGGCTGTAGGGATGGGGTGAGGAAGGGGAGGAAGGGAGGAGACGGGAAGTGCCCGGGCCTCAAGGGTGATGCCACCGCTTCTCGCCCGGCCTTGCCAGGCTTCTCAGTCCTAGCGTGGCTCCCCCGCTCCTCCCACACCCACAGGCTTCCGGCCACAGCTGCGCGGCCCCACCTTGCCCTCCCCCACCTTTCCCTCCCCCCTACTCACAGGTGGTGGCTGCTCCTCTGGGGAGTCCTCCAGGCTTGCCCCACCCGGGGCTCCATCCTCTTGGCCCAAGAGCTACCCCAGCAGCTGACATCCCCCGGGTACCCAGAGCCGTATGGCAAAGGCCAAGAGAGCAGAACGGACATCAGGGCTCCAGAGGGCTTTGCTGTGAGGCTCGTCTTCCAGGACTTCGACCTGGAGCCGTCCCAGGACTGTGCAGGGGACTCTGTCACAGTGAGCTGGGCATGGGGGGGTCCCGCCAGGACTGTGGCCAGGGAGACTCCCGGGGTTATGGGAAGTGGCGGTGCCCTGAATCATCCATCTGGAGGAGGAATTTTCCATGTAGGGACAGTCGGGCTTGGCTTACCAGGCAGCAGTGGTGGACCCCAGGACACAACCTCCCAGCAGCGCCTCCAGGGCTGCTGTCTGGGCCCCAGCAAGCAAAGAGGGCAGCAAGCAGTCCCTGCATTTGGAAGACTTATGAAGGGACACACAAATCTTGCAAATCTATGGAGCCAGGGGCAGGCACGCACACATTGGTTGTTAAAAATATATCATCATGTATTTGTAGAGTGCCTGCTCTATCAGGTGAGGAAGCTGGGCACAAATAATAACAAAAGATTAAGTCACCGTTCGCACTTACCTTAGAAGAGCTGTCACAAAACTTCTAACGCCAAAGCCTTATTCAGAATAAGGACATTTTAGAAACAGTTATTGATGGAGTGATGCAGGCCTGTAGGCCCAGCAGTATACTCAGCACACTGAGGCTGGAGGATCAGAGGGCTGGAACCCAGGAGTTCAAGGCCAGCCTAAGCAATATAGCAAGACCTCATCTCAAAAATAAATAAATAATAAATAAAAATAAAAAGAGCACATTATCTTTTGATTTAAATTTTATTTATATCAAAATGACACACATATAAACTTTTGAACTTTATTTTTTAATTTAAAAATTTTTAATTATTATAGATACATAATAGTTGTAACACTTTTTTTTTTTAATTAAAGTTTTCTAAGGCTGGGCGCGGTAGCTCATGTCTGTAGTCCCAGCACTTTGGGAGGCTGAGGCGAAAGGATCACTTGAGCCCAGGAATTTGAGACCAGCCTGGGCAACATAGCAAGACCCCATCTCTACAAAAAAATTTAAAAATTAGCCAAGTGTGGTGGCACGCACCTGTGGTCCCAGCTACAAAGGACGCTGAAGTGAGAGGGTCACTTGTGCCTGGGAGGTAGAGGCTACAGTGAGCTCTGATCATGACACTGTACTCCAGCCTGGGTGACAGAGTGAGACCCTGTCTCCAAAAAAAAAAAAGTTTTTTAAAAAGGCTTATGCATAACAACAGTCTCCAAGCTGTTCCTCCCCACCCCTGAGAGCTGCTCCTTGGGAGCAGTCATCTTCCAATTCATGTAGCTGTTTCATCTGGTCTTTAACTTCATATGTATAAATAACATGCTTATTTATCTTTCATTTTTACATATTTTCTACTAACGTTCAACTACAGTATAGAAGATAAGGACTAGCTTTATCTGTCTTCAGTCTTAACCACTCACATTTCCCCTCCCCATTCTGCCAGTTTACATATATTATCATTTTTAGTTAACTCTTTATTCATTATTTACATTATTATGACTAAAATATTTGCATCTGAGCACATGGCATAAAATAATTTAGGAGTCGAGAGTTACATGGAGGCTTTTTGTTTTGTTTTGTTTTGTTTTTTGGTGGGGGGTATTTGTTTTTGTTTTGCTTTTTAGTTTGCTTAGTTGTCTCTGTAACTAATCTCACCAGACTCTTAGCCAGGAGTGTAAATCTTCTTCTGAAATACTCAAGCACAAATTTCAGTCTATTGGTCCTCCTTCTAATTGGTGACATCCCTCCTGAAGATCTCTCGATGGTTTATTTTCACAGCCTGAGTTCTTTGCTCTTTAAGCTGTCACACATTCTGGGAGTTCCCTTCTCCCTCTTTCTGGGGATTTCCTTTACCTGTCCTGGGCTGAACCTGAATCCCATACCTTTCTCATTTTTGGTTTACTCTCCCATTTTGGAGGAGCACCTTCACCAGTGGCTTCCTTAGAAAGAGTATTTTAGAATGAATTGTAGAGGATCTTATATGTGTCTAAATGTCTCAGTTCTATGCTCACAGTAGATGGATAGTTGATCTGGGTATAGCATTCTAGATTGGACACCTTTTTCTTCTAGAATGTTGATGATATTGTCTTCTAGGTCTAGACTTTGTTAACAAGTTTGATGCCCTTATCATTCCTAATCCTTTGTTTTCTCTCTCTAGAACTTTTGGAATATTTTCCTTATTACCAGTATTCTGGAATTTTATTATGATGTCCCTTGATACATGTGGTTTTTCACGCATTGTACAGGTTTCTTTTAATCTAGAGCCTCTTTTAATCTAGTCCTTCAATTCTAGGAATGTTCTTGTGCTATTTTTAAAATAATTTCTAGACATCTCATTTCTTTATTTTCTCTTTCTCCTGTAATTCAGCTGTTGTATGTTCTACATTGATTCTCTAGCTTTGTTATCTGTTTTATTCTATTTACCATCTCTTTAGTTCCACTTTCTGGGAAATTTCCTCATCTTTAAATCCCAACCTTTTAGTTAATGGATTCTTTCCACTGACATATTATTTCATTTCTAAGGATTTGTTCTAATTTTCTACATGTGCCTTTTTATAGAGTATTGTTCTTGTTTCATTGATGCAATATCAACTCCTTTCCCTCCTTTGGGATTATTTTTAAATGTTTCTTCTGTTATCTATAGTAGGTCTGTTTCATCCAAGTTCCTTTTTGCCATTTGTTTGTTTTGGTCTCTGCTTTTTGTGTTAGAGACTTTCCTACAATGTCTGATAATACTTGGCTGTCCATTCATATTTAAGGCCCGGTGTGGTGATTCACATCTATAATCCCAGCACTTTGGCAGCCCAAGGCAGGCAGATCACCTGAGGCCAGGAGTTTGAGACCAGCCTGGCCAACATGATGAAACCCCGTCTCTACTAAAAACACAAAAATTTGCCAGGCATAGTGGTGTACGCCTGTAATCCCAGCTACTTGGGAGGCTGAGGCGTAAGAATCACTTGAACCCGGGAGGCAGAGGTTGTAGTAAGCCGAGATCAGGCCACTGCACTACAGCCTGGGGGGCAGAGTGAGTCTCTGTCTCAAGGAAAAAAAAAAAAAAAAGAGTGGAGCACTAAAATACTAATTGGAAGTTCTGTGTAGATAGCTAAAAATTTGTCAAATGATAGGTTTGAAAATAGGATTATCAACAGGGTGACCTAGATGTGCCATTGGGGGCCTCCCAACTGTCAGGATGTAAAGGCATTTTATTTGGGGACAGCCAGTTTCCCCTGAGAGAACTCCTGCAGTCTCCAGCTCAGGGACCCTAGCATTCTGGTCAACAAGCTGAGAGAAGGGCCTGGTGGAGGGAGCTGCAGCTCACTGTTTGACAGGTAGACTTTCACTTAATCCTTCTGTTTTTGGTACAGTGAGTCCTCACTTAATATCATCCATAGGTTCTTGGCAAGTATGACTTTAAGAGAAACAACATAGAATGAAACCAATTTGGCCATTGATATAGACAAGAGTGAAGTTCCTGCAGCAATTACTGATCACAGAAACATCACCAAACACCTAAATAAAGACCCCAAACACTTCTAATATTAAATATTGAAATACATGTGAACTATGCCTACATGTAAGAAAGTTTAATAAAAATGAGTAAGATTATTTACCCAGTTATTCCGGTTTGGGGTCACGGGTGGCCATAGCCTGGTCCAGCAGTTCAGGATGCAAGGCAGGAATCAGTGCTGGACAGGACAGCATCCTGTTTCAGGACGCACTCACACACATTCATACTCACTCACACTGGGGCCGTGGGGACATGCCAGGTCACCCAACAGGCACAGCCTGGGATGTGGGAGGAAACCAGAGGACCTGAAGAAAACCACTGAAGACACGAGAAGAATGTGCAGACTTCACCCAGCCAGTGGCCCCAGACAGGAGGCGATGTTTTTTCTCATCAGTGTCATAATGAAACAACAATGTTATTCATGGACCTGCTGCACTGGCCTTCACCCCCTCTGTCAAGTGTGCCACGGGGCCTCAAGTCCAGGGTTTCTCGTTAAGCTCATGCCCTCTTCCAGGGGGGGCCCGAGGGAGTTGCCTGGGTGCACAGAGATTCTAGGATTCTGCAGTCTCCCTCACAGGCTTCCCGTCTGCCATCCCTGTGCCAGTCCTTCCCTCATCCCTATCTTGATTCCCCCAATTTTTAAAACTTACCCTGGTTCTGTGATGAGAACCTGCTTGCTTTATGTTGGCTCCCATCATTGCAAACTCAAGTTATCACTTGCATCTCCACTCCATCTTCCAAAGTGTGTTCATCTGCTGTCACCCTCTCTCCCTTGTCCTCGGTTATGTGTACCATTTTATCCCTTTGCTGTCATATGACTGGGGTTTGAGGTGGCAGAGGAGATACGTGCGTGCATTTATTGCTTCAGACTTAACCAGTCAGGATGATACTTTGCTCAATTCAGCCTGTGTCTGTTGAGCACCTACCATGAGTCCCGTTCCTCTTAAATCACAGAGATTTTTAATCCTGGCCTCTTTTCTTGTCATTGGGAAACTTCAAGATCAGAAATAGGATTCCTCCCAGAGTAAGTCACACACACACACCCCTCAAATGCAGAATTCAGCACACTATAATCTAGTTTATTTTTTACTTGTCAGTGTCCTCAGCCGCTGCTCCTCAGGAGCAGAACTGTGCCTTTGTCATATCTGTGTCCCCAGCACCTAGCACAGTGTACTACACATCGTACACAGTCAGTACATGTGTTAAAGGAATAAGTGAAAGAGTGAATAAAATGCAAGCTTATGTGTGTGCGGGACACACAGCAGAATGAATTTTGAAGGAGCAGGTATTGAGTATCCATCCTCACCACTGCTCTTAGTGTGGACTCTGGAAGATGCCATAGAACATGCTGGAAGAGGCCACACAGACCATTACATAGGAGCGGAAACTGAGATCTTGGGTGCTTCAGAAACTCCCCATTTCGTACATGGAGTTAGTAGCAAAGTCTAGAATTTAAGGGTGTTAGGACTCCATCCTGTGTCCACTCTACTTTCCCAGTTAGACTCCTAAGCAATTGTATTTAGCTAACAATTCAGGGAAAAGGGCAAAAGGAAAACTGGAGGGTTTTACAACCAAGTAGAGCAGTTGAGCACCATTTCCTATATCAAATTGCTTCTTCCCCAAAAGGTAGGCCTCTTAAATGCCAGGAGTTACATTTGTTGATATTCTAAGCAAAAAACCAGTTCTGGGATTTGTCTGAGCAAGGTATTTGGGGCAATTTGGAAATTTTCTTCATCGCAACTTTTACCCAGTTACTCTGATCATAATGACATGGTCTGGATGAAGTCTTGAATGAATTTGGGACTTGTGGAGAATGAGGGAGTGGAGAGCTAGCAAAAACCTGGGATATATGGATCAGTATGAAAACCAGAAATAAAATGAGCCAAGCAGTGAGCTGTGTACCTGGAACAGAGATAAAGCAGGAAGCATGGCCCAGGAACTCCCTCCAAGCCACCCTTTCCTTGAGTTGAGGAACCCACAGGAAGGGATTTGAGCAGAGGTGAGACAGTGAAAAGGGCATTGAAACAGAGACAACCTGCCAGGTGAAGCAGTACCATCCAGTGCACCTGGACTGTGGACACCTGTGTCCTTAGGCTTTCATACATTGCGAGAGCTTCGTTTACAAAGTGCATGGGGTAAGAGGAGGGGCACCCCAAAAGAAGGAAAGCAGGAAAAGGCAGGGACCCCAGAGGCTCAGTCTCTGCAGAGGGTCTTACTGCTTCACAGACGTTGGCCAGAGAAAGTTACTCAGAGAAGTGGAAGGTGATGGGATGGGACTTGGGGATGGAGGAGAAGCTGGATGGGAGGGGCTTATGCCTATGTTCATTTGAGTCAAAGCTGTGGTGCTATAGGTACCACGTTGAGCACCAGGAACTCAGTGGTGAAAAAGACAGAACTAGTCCTTGACTTCTTAGAATTTATAATCCAGCGACTCTTATGGGAACCCTGGGGTTCCCAAGGAACTTCTTAAAAGAAGGAAAATATAATGGGTTGTATGAAATAATTATGGTAGGATAAAGAAACATTATAGTATGCGGTCATGTCTGGAAGAAACTCAGGAGTCAATAATGGAACCAGAAGCTAGTTGAGGAAGCCTCTGAGGTGCCTTCTGAGCCCCAGAGGGGCATGGCCTGTCTAGATGGGGCTGGAGTCACACCGAGGATGTGCCCCTGTGATGCCAGCAGCACAGGTTCACCCCACACCTATCTGCAGCCTCACTCCTCCTCCTGCTTTCAGATCTCAGCCAGCGGGTTGGATCCAAGCCAGTTCTGTGGTCAGCAAGACTCTCCTCTGGGCAGGCCCCCTGGTCAGAGGGAGTTTGTATCCTCAGGGAGGAGTTTGCGGCTGACCTTCCGCACACAGCCTTCCTCAGAGAACAAGACTATCCACCTCCACAAGGGCTTCCTGGCCCTCTACCAAACCGTGGGTGAGTGTCCCTCCTGGGGGTGCAGGGAGGGAGCCTCTGTCCCCAGCCATGACCCTGGTATCTTCAAGCCTTAAGTGGAAGCTTGAGTGACAGCTGAGGTGACTCAGGGACACCTGGGCTGGACCCCAGCCCTGCCCCTGCTGGCAAGCAACCCTATTAAGAGACAGCCATTGCCCAGCCCCAGTGGTGGTTTCCACACAGATTTATAGGCCCGGTGTTTGCAGATCATCTCATTTTTAAAGAGATGCCAAAAATCCGGATTTTTAAGTAAAATTATAAATTTTCAAATGATGACTCAGATTGGTTTTGAAAGATAAATACTGGCTGGAGGCAGTGGTTCATGCCTGTAATCCCAGCACTTTGGAAGGCCAAGGCTGGAAGATTGCTTGAGGCCAGTAGTTGGAGACCAGCCTGGGCAACATAGTGAGACCCCGTTTCCACAAAACAATTAAAAATTAGCCAGGCATGGTGGTACACACCTGTAATACCAGCTACTCGGGGACCGAGGGGGAGGATTGCTTGAGCCAGGGAGTTTGAGGCTGCAGTCAGCCGTAATCATGCCACTGCACTCCAGCCTGGGAGACATAGTAAGACAAGAAGAAAGAAAAAGAGAGAGAAGTAAAGGAAGGGAGGGAGGAAGGGAGAGAGGGAGGGAGGGAGGAAGGCAGGAAGGCAGGAAGGAAGGCAGGCAGGCAGGCAGGCAGGCAGGAAGGAAGGAAGGAAGGAAGGAAGGAAGGAAGGAAGGAAGGAAGCAAGGAAGGAAGGAAAGAAGGAAGGAAGGAAGAAAGGAAAGAAGGAAGGAAAGGAGGGAGGGAAGGAAGGGAGGGAGGGAAGGAGGCAGGGAAGGAGGGAGGGAGGAAGGAAGGGAGGGAGGGAGGAAGGGAGGGAAGGAAGGGTGCACATGATAAAATACCATATTTTAAGTATGCTAAAAAGTAAGTCTTCCTCTATCTCTGGCTCTTAACTCCTAGCTGCCCTCCCCAGAAACAACTGTGTTCTCCATTTCCTAGGTATTCTTCCTAGGAAGAGGATAAATTGTGTGTGTCTGTAGTGTAAGTGTTCTAAACTTGGCATTTTTCCACTGAATAATATATCTTAAAGATCATCCCATTCCATATGGTCAGCATTAACTCATTTATTTTTTATTATTTATTTATTTGGGACAGAGTCTCGCTCTGTCACCTAGGCTGGAGTGCAGTGGCACAATCTCTGCTCATTGCAACCTCTGCCTCCTGGGTTCAAGTGATTCTCCTGCCTCAGCCTCCTGAGTAGCTGGGATTATAGGTATGCCACTATACGCAGCTAATTTTTGCATTTTTAGTAATGGTTTCACCATGTTGGCCAAGCCTCAAAATCCTGACCTCAGATGATCTGCCTGCCTCAGGCTCCCAAAGTGCTAGGATTACAGGCGTGAGCCACTGCACCGGCGAACTCATTATTTTTATTGACCACATAAAATCCCCTTGATTGATATGTCTTAATGTATTTGATCAGCCCTCCTGATAGATACTTTGCTGCCACACACGGTGCTACTGTGCATATCCTTGCATTTATGTCTTTGAGCACATGTGTGAGACTATCTTTAGACTAAATTTTTAGAAATGGAGTAGTAGGTTAAAAAATATTTGCATTTTAAATTTTGATATTGCTAAAATTTTCTCCAAAAATGTTTTGCTAATTTACATACCTACCAAACATATATGGAAGTGCCTGTTTCCCCCTACCCTGCTTGTCACACTTACCTTCAAACTCTTTGAGTGTTGACAGTCTGATCAGTGAAAACTAACTCAAATGTTTTTAAAAAACTAAAAATAAAAATAAAAAATAAATCACTGTGCAAGTCAAACCAAGTATAGCCATGGGCCAGAATCAGCCCCTGGGTTGCCAGTTGGCAAGTCTGTGCTAGATGCTGTTTTCCTATAGCTGTGAACTATAGTCAGCCCATCAGCGAGGCCAGCAGGGGCTCTGAGGCCATCAGCGCACCTGGAGACAACCCCGCCAAGGTCCAGAACCACTGCCAGGAGCCCTATTATCAGGCCGCGGTGGCAGGTGAGTCCCCACCTGCTCAGAGGTGGCTTCCATCCGCCTCACTCCCACCCAAATGCCTGACAGCCTCTGAGCACCTGGTTTGTTCGCCAGCAGCTTCAACTCTGAGCCTGTTTCTTTGCCTCTCCTCATTTTGCGCCTCAGGGACACTCACCGGCACAACCCCAGGGACCTGGAAGGACAGACAGGATGGGGAGGAGGTTCTTCAGTGTATGCCTGGTGAGTAGCCACCTGCCAGCACCATTCCCCCAACAAGCCTTAGCTGCGACTGGGACCTACGGGACACAGGGATTAAAGGAAAGCCTTAGAATAGAGAGGAAGATAAGAAGCAGAAGGTGGGGAAGAACACGGCAGTCAAGAAGGCCCAGAATCAGGCCGCGGTGGCAGGTGAGTCTCACCTGCCTGTAGAGGTGGCTTCCGATCCGCCTCACTCCCACTCCAAATGCCTGACAGCCTCTGAGCACCTGGGTCGCCGCCAGCAGCTTCAACTTGAGCCTGTTTCTTTGCTCTCTCATTTTGCGCCTAGGGACACTCACCGGCACAACCGTGGACCTGGAAGGACAGACAGGATGGGGGAGAGGCCCTTCAGTGTATGCCTGGTGAGTAGCCACCACAGCACCATTCCCCAATGTCAGCTGGGTGACTGACCTATGGGACACAGGGATTAAAGTGGAAAGCCTTAGAATGAGAGGAAAGAGGGCGAAGCAGAAGGGGGAAGTGAACACGGCAGGCTGGTTAGCGCCTCAGAAAAGAAGAGGCAGGGAGCTTGTTCTCATTCTTCAGGGGTCACATATATCTGAGGAAAAGCATGAAGGAAGTTAATAAGATGGACTAGAAAAGGATAGAAGAGAAACCAACAAGCTGGATCCAAGAGAAAACCTTTAAAGCAAGTGGTTTGAAGGATCTACTGACAGGTCTATTCCTAAAACATCTCCTACCTAGATGCCAAAGCAGAAAGCTTCAACCATTTTTTAAAAAATTTATTGAGATAAAATTCACGGCTGCACCACTGTGGCTCAGTCATCTCAGTTTTGGGAGGCCGAGGCGGTGAATCACCTGAGATCAGGAGTTCCAGGACTCCAGCCTGGCCAACATGGCAAGAACTCCGTTTCTACTAAAAAAATACAAAAGTTAGCATGATGGTGTGTGTTTATAATCCTGGCTGATGAGGAGGCTGAGGTGCCAGCAGGACAATAGCAACACATGGCACCCGCTTGAACCCAGAAGGTAGAGGTTGCAGTGGAGCGAGATCGCAAGCTGCCAGAGCTTCAGCCTGGGCAACAGAGCAACCGTCTCAAAAAAAAATTACAGAACTTGAAAATCTGTAGTTGCTAAGAAAATTAAAAAGTTAATTTTTAAAATTGTATTACACAAAATTTACCATTTTAACTTACCTTCTTTTTTTTTTTTTTTTTTTTTTTTTTGAGAGATGGTGTTTCCTTTGTTGCCCAGGCTGGAGTGCGATGCACCCACTCACTGCAACTCTGCCCTGGGTTCAAGCGATTCTCCTGCCTCTGTGCCTCCTGAGTAGCTGGGATTACAGACCGCCACCATGCCCAGCCTCTTTTTTTTTTTTTTTTTTTTGTATTTTTAGTAGAGATGTGTTTCACCATGTTGGCCAGGATGGTCTCCAACTCCTGACCTCAGGTGATCGATCCGCCTCAGCCTCCCAAAGTGCCGGGATTACAGGGGTGAGCCACCACGCACTGGCCTTAACCACTTAAACAGTACTATCCAGTAATGCCACAGTTCACAATGCGAAACCACTACCACTAATTCGCAGAACATTTCCAAAACCTCTCTCAAAAATGCCTCCAGTACCTCCAACGCTTCCTCTGCCCCCCACCCCGCAACCACTAATCCCATTCTCTGTCTCTATGGATTTGCCTCTGTGGATTTTGTATCAGTGGGAATCACAGAATATGTGGCTGTTTCCTGTCTATTTCTTTCAATATAATGTTTTCAAGGTTCATTCTTGCTATAGCATCCATCAGTATTTCATTTTTATGGCTAAGAATACTTCTTCTATGGATACACCATTTTATTTATTCATTTGAATTGATGGACATTTGGGTTGTCTCTATTTCTGCCTTTATGAATGATGCTGCTATGAGCATTTGTGTACAAGTTTTATCAAATATATATTTCCAAATCTCTGGGTGGGGTAACACTCAGGGAGTAGACTGCTGATTGTATAATAATTTCTATTTAACTTTGGGAACCACCAAACTGTCTTCAACAGCAGCAGCACCATTTTACATCTCACCAGCTATACATGAGGGTTCAAGTCATTGGGCATTTTGGAGATCCACACTTTTGAATGAAAGCATTGCCTCTTAACCCAGTCTGACCCATTTGGAACACTCTTAGGCAGCTCAAGGTGCCCATGGTGCTTTGGGACAAGGAGGGCAGGGTGGTAGTGGAGCATACAAAATGAGAAGGTGACACAAACTGAGGCAGGAAATGAAACAGACTTCCTGCTCGGGCATGGGGGCCCAGGATAATCCAAAGGAATGGCTTCTTAATGCCTCTAGGAGGCAGGCAGAGCCCCCAGAACCAGCCCCAAATATGTGCTCATCTGTGTTTCACTCTCAGTCCACTGTCCTGAGTCCCATGCAGGATGGGTGCCCCATACACTTGGCGTCTTGATTACTCTGCCCCCTTTGGTTCCTGCCCACACAGTCTACACTGTGGTCTGCATCAGTATAAGACTCCTGATCCTGGCCGGGCACGGTGGGCTCATGCCTGTAATCCTACACGGAGGCCGAGGCAGGTGGATCACCTGAGTTCGTAGAGTTCCAGACTAGTCTGGGTCCACATGATGAAACTCCCGTCCCTGGTCAAACACAAAGTCTAGCCAGGTGTGGGTGGCTGTGCCAGTAATCCCAGCTACTTAGAGACTGAGGCAGGAGAATTGCTTGAGCTCGGGAGGCGAGGTTGCAGTGAGCCGAGATCGCGCAACTGCACTCCAGTCTGGGCAACAAGAGCGAAACTCGGTCTCAAAAAAAAAAAAAGAGTCCTGATCCCAGAGCCTTCTTCTAATGATCTCCCTTTACCACAGCACTTCTAGAGAAGTAGGTCTTCAATCAATGTGCCTAGATGCAGCTGCTGACTGTCACCCTACCCTCCTCTCCGAGTCATGGACGGCCAGTTTACCCCCATTGCTCAGAATCAGACGACCCTCCTGCTCTCTTCCAGAGCGCCAAGTTGGCACCTCCTGGCAAGCCTTCACCAGTATCCATGGCCGTGGGGTGGGGGCCTCTGGGTGATGATGGATCCTCACAGCCGCCTCACACCATCTACCCTAAGGACAGTGTTTCCCCAGGAAGAACCGAGGAATGTGTTCCTGGGCCACACAGCCATAGATGATGCTGAAACTGGGGGAAACCACCCTGTCCGCCGTAATTGTGCACCTGACTACCGTCAGAATGAGTCCCACAACTTCAGCGGGACATCATTTCTGAGTTGCAGCACAGCATCCCGCTGCCTCAACATCCTCCTGGTCCTGCCTGCCCGATCATGAGACTCCTCACCGCAGCGTTTGCTGGCCACATCAGTGGGTTCAAGTGGAGAGATGGGCTGGCTAACTACTGAGTTGAAATACTCAAGGCTGCCTGTAGCTCCCAGGGAGGCCTGTGAGGCCTGGCCCTGAAAGACAGGAGGCCCGAGGTGTTTCACAATATGTTCTGTGTGTTGGGACGAGACGCAGCGCACAGTGTCTGCCAGGGGACAGTGGCAGCGTCTATGGGTATGGGACACTGTGGTCTGAACACCGGGTGGCCACGGGCACGTGGTCCTGGGGCATAGGATGTGGCTAAGGCATGACTTCTACACCAAAGTGCTCAGCTACGTGGAATTGATCAAGGGAGGAGTGAACAGCAAGAACTGATCCTGGGGTGCTTCTGGACAGACTGACCAGCACAGTGCAGGTCCCAGCTACAGAGGGCTGGGAGGAGAGGGACTGAACTCCTGGGGCAGTGGTGGGGACGGGGTGGGGGAGCTGTGGAAATCCTATTCACATCACTGTTGCATCTGGCCACTGCAGGAGAAACTCACCCGGCAAGCCTGCACTGGGCTCCCAGACAGGAAGCAGGTCCTAAAGACTGCTTTCTCTACCTCCCTGTGCGCATGCATTATGCCCAGAGAAGTCTGTGGCATCTCAGCAACTTTCACCTTGAATCTTATAATCCTCAACCCCTACTTCATGTTAGACAGCTTGATACTCACTCTAGGGAAGAGCCACCTTCTCACCACAGAGAGGTGTGAGGAAGGGTTAGCTTGAGTTTCATTTCAAACATTCCAAGACCCTTTAGTTGACTCTCTTCAAATTCAAGCTATTCTGCAGCTCCATATGCAATTATGAAATAGCTCCTTTTTTATTGTATGTCCTCTATATGCCAGGTGCTTCACCTGTTATTTCACTGAATCCTCAGCATATTTGTAAAAAGGATGTGTTATCCATGTATGACAAATTGAGGAAACTGAGGCTCAGGGATAAAGGACTTGCCTAAGTCCTCTAGCTGGTGTGTGACTGCAGAGACTGGGTGTCTTTCCCAGTGTGCCACCATACTTCTCAACTCTCTCTGACCTGCTGTGCCACCTAGTCCCCACATCCTGACCATTGTCCTCCCTGGGAATTCCGGCTTCTGTGAAAATGGCGTCCTCATTTCACACTTTCCTGATAGCCCCATCCTCCTGCAGAAGCCAGGTGAGCCCAGCACTGGACCAGTTCCCACGACACCCACCTGTGCCTCCATCATCAAGGGAATGCTCCACCTGAGAGGACCAACGCTTTACCTTAGTAAAGACTGGAGGTGATGGGTCAGGCGCGCGTCTCACGCATGTAATCCCAGCACTTTCAAAGAGGCTGAGGTGGGCAGATCACAAGGTGAGGCGCTCCAGACCATCCTGGCCAACACCACAGAAACCCCGTCTCTACTAATGCAAAATTATTAAGGTGAAAATCTGTAGTCCAGCTACTTGGGAGGCTGAGGCAGGAGAACATGTGAGCTGATCACAAGCACTGCACTATTCACACAAAGCAAGACTCCCAATTTAAAACAAAGGCAAAAATAAATAAATAAATAAATAAATAAATAAATAAATAAATAATTGGAGGTGATTTACAGTGAAAGACAAAATAATCAATGATGAAATAAAAATAAATTATAATAAAAGAGAGGACAGATAATTTGTTAAAGATCAAGAGTCATACATACTATGATCAAAGGTTAAATGTATCTCTAAAAATGGTAGGATTCAAAGTTGTACATGTGGTTACTTCACTTTTAACACCTACACACAGTACAAGAGATTATTTAAAATATTCTAAAAGATGACACAATTTATCGTCCTCAACAATGCCAGGAGGCTGATACAGGAGGATCACTTGAGCTCAGGAGTTCTAAGGCTGCCCTTACAATATAGTGAAACCATCTCCAAAAATATGAATAATAATTTCTTCAAAATAATAATAAACAGTGTGTTTATTGAGCAGATTTTATTGTTTTATTTTCCATTATTCTCATTTGCTGAATTTTGTTTAATTAGCATAAAAATATTTTTGTTTAATTTTTACATTTAAAATGATACGCTGTCATACCAAGGCAAAAACATATATATACAATTTATATTGGCAGTATGTACGCTCAGATCTATATCTACACCTCCATCACAAGTCTCTCAGTCTAGATAGAGATATAAATGATAGAGAGAGAGAGAGAGAGAGAAGTAGAGAGAGACATGGAGATAGATAACTAGCTAGAGACATGTCCACAGAGGAAAAACCTACCACCACTTTGTAAGAGAGAAATCTTTTTCCCAAGATGACCCAACCTTAGAGAACAAACACTGTAATGGATGGTCCTCAATACTTGTTTGGGGAAAGATGCAGCACATTCATATGCATTTTTTTCCTTCAAATATTGATATAATAAAAATGTGAGAAATGTTATTTTGAATGGCTGGACAAAACGGGAGACAGGCTAATTGTTTAATGACGTCCAGGTTTGCCACTGCTATGTACACCAAGGCAGAACTGAGAACTTGAGATGGGTGGAAGAGCTTCAGCTAACACTTACCTCACTGTTCCTCTACTCACTTAAGAAACAACATACAGTCCATACACACACACACACACACACACACACACACACACACAAAACACTGCTGCCAGGATATTAATGTAAAGTCAATACACTAGACTCTCTCTCGCCCCTCTGATCTAGTCCTTCTTCCTCATCTTTTTGTCTTTCCTGACCTAACAAGGCTATGGTTCTATCCTGATCCCATCACAGACTGAACATTAGGTTCAGTCCCTGGCCTCACACAGGCCTGCTGGAGAAACCTGCTGCTGGGGATCTGCACCTCTGTGGGCCTGCTGTCACCTACACGATACTTCTGGGCTACTGCCTGATGGGAAATTGCATCACTCTAGGAATTCTGCACCTATTGCCTGGGAAAGTGCCTTGCACATTAAACAGGTAGCCCATAAATGATGAATGGGATGAAGGTGGAGGTTGGAGGGATTAATCTAATATGAAAACAAGAATACTTTACAAAGGCTTTCAAGAACACAGAGAGGCCTGCCTGCAACTCCAAGCCCTCTATAAAAGTGCTCAGATATTTGGTACTGCAGGTTGGATGAAGGCAAGCCTTCCAAAACAGTGAAATTGTTTTATTTGTTTGAACTGTAGAGATTTTAGGTTTCACTATAAGGCCCAGCTGGGTCTTGAACTCCTGGGCTCAAGATCTTCCCACCCTGGCCTCGCAAAGCGCTCAGGATCACAGGCACGCAGCCACCACACGGGGCCAAGAGCAAAAATTTTGTGCTAGACACTATGGCCTTGACAAGAGAGTCTAGGTCCCTCCTCCTCCCAGGCCTGGCCTCCATCTCAGAAAACCAAGTGCCTCTTCCTCCACACTCCGCACCTCCTCGGCTTCAGCCCTGGCAGTTGTGTTGAGCAGACGCTGAGGAGATGGGGACATTTTACTCCCTCCGCAGCTGCCCCAGAGGGTCTCAAACCCAGGGCTGATTAGGCTGCCCTGACATGGCCATCTCATTCTATGTCCACGTTGTCATTCACGGCTAAAGTACACAGACCTCAAGGCAACCAAGCTCCTCTTCTGCCCACTCCACGCCCTCTGCCCCAGTGTTCCTATCATTAGCATCCTGGGTATGGAAACTCCGGCCATTCTGAACCAGGGCTGGGGCTGAATGACTTGCAAGAAGAACGGGTCATGGGAAAGGACAGCCCAGAAAAAAGAATCCCTCACAACCTGTGGTCTCCCAAACGGTGAGAACCTTGTAAACACAGCAGCCCCCCAGGAAAGTCTTCCTGAAGAAAGGAGAAGCTGACTCAGATCTAGAGACTGGAAGCATCTGGGCCTCCAACCAAAGGCCTCTGGCCCTAAAAAGTCCGACTCCTCGTCCCTTAGCGCTTTCCTCATAGACCAGCAGGTGGCACCACTGACAGGGATCAAAACCAAAACTAAAATTAAAGTGGAAACTCAGATCTTTATTTCAGCAAATAGTTCATTCCCTCCAAGATCCTTCCGGGAACAGTCCCCTCCACTCCCGCCAGAAAACCCTCCTCCCCCTGCTGTAGGGATGGCCCTCTGCACACAGTGCAATGGGACAGTGTTTCTCCAGATTCAACACGGGCCTTGCAAGGGTGATGGGCACCAGGTGGAGGGGGAAGCCAGGAGAAGCCAGGGCATGGGAGGCACCAGGAGACAGGAACACCCTTCTCTCTTCACACTCTTCTCTCACAATCCACTGTGCACAATACATGGACACACAACACACTCTATCCCTCCTCCTAAGAACCAGAGGAGACTCCATATATGAAGCCTCATGCCATGTGTCCTTTTCTTCCTCTGGGCTCACAGCAGGAGCAGCGAGAGGAGGGACCCTGCCCAGAGAGACTGTTTGTGTCTCACACTCCATGATGGCCTCTCCCAGACGCTCTTACTGAACCTGTGGGTTTCCTTTCAGACACCCAGAGGTGGAAACCCCACCACCAATCCTTGTCCCAAGCCAGTCCTATTCCTGAAGGGGAGGGGAGGGATGGGGCCAGGCAGGGAGGAGGCTGAAAGGAGGCAGAGGGCGTGGTGGCCTCTGGACTGGACATCGTCTCTGGGGAGTGACTCAATGCAGCAGCTGCAAGGCCGCCTCCCCACCCAGGCACTCCCTGCTGAGAACATGTCGGTGAGGTCCAGAGCGGGCAGAGAGAGGAGGATGCCCAGCGGTATGGCCATCTCGGCCCCATGCCACGGCCAGCTGCCTTACATGGCAAGAGAGTGCTGAACCTCTAACTTCCAGACACTCTTTGTTTTGCAGGTACTTATACCTCCTGGCTCCCAACCCTGTTCCACAAGCCAAGAGATCCTACCCCCACCCCTGCAGCTGGCTGGGAGCGCACTCCGGTCCCTATCTCAACCCTACGCGCTTTTGAAACAAACACTGTGATCACAGTCCCCACAGGATACAGGGTGAAGCTCTGCCTTCCAGCATCTCCAACCTGGCTTCAAGGCTGCTCCACTTATGTTGAGGTAGGGCAGACAGCGGCAGAGGGAGACAAAACGAAAACCTCTGGGATCTGGGATCTGTATGGCATGCATTACCTCCCCAGACACAGCCCGGCCCTCACAAGAGCTAAGATGGCCACTTCCTGCATCCTTAGAGCCAAGGGGCCTGGACGGGGCACTCACTGAGGAAGAGGCCTCTGGAGCACTGAGGAGAAGCACAGAGAAAGGACAGACCCACTCAGGAAATTCACTGTCCACTGAGTCAAGAAAACCTTCCCATCTGCTGTCTGGCTGAGAGCCTTGGGAAACCACCGTGCCTCAGCTTCCTGTCTCCATGAGAAGATTGATGGCTGCCTGGCC